GATAGTGCAACACCTAATAGTGTAACCAATATAATAAGTTTATAGGTTTTATGATATATATATTTTTTACAATCTTTATTTTAAATTTTCTGGGTAGAATACAACAGGTCAGGTATGTATGCATTCGAATGAACATACTTAGTATAAAGTTGAATCAATCCACAGTATTTCGCACAACAATTTGTAACACACAACATTTTCTGGGTGTATGCAATGTTATGCACAGGAGATTAACAACATTTTATTCATATCAAGTAGGTTGCGAGCAGGGTCTATATCTAGCTAACCTTAAGTAGGGTTTAGTAGGGCGACAGTGTAGCATGATGGCTAGTTGTTCTAACGAGAATGTCATCTGCATATGACAGGCTAGTTAACAAGACGTTCTGGTCTTACTTCACTTCAAGATATCGTGCTGTAGGTCCTAGGATGCTTCTAGGGAGCCATGCGGTAGGGTTTAGGTCACGATGCCAAGGAGCGAGTGGTTCCATCTGTGAAGCAGGGAGTGTTTGCTTAATGGTCTATTGAGTGTGACAGGGTGCAAGTTCGAGAACTGCGCCTTGGTGTTTGTTGTGCTATGTTGTGGTAATTTGATCTTCTCGAGTGTTGCACCGCTCTATGGGCCCAGCAAAAGCTGCAGGTAGAACTACCGAGTAGCGGGGTGTTTAAATGCCTCCGCTCGGTAGTCTTTTCTTTATCTCTCGTACCGGTATGGTAAGTTTGGGGGCTAAAGGGGTGTATGATATCTACTTTTATGGATTGTACAAGTGAAATATTGTAATGTCCATGGAAAATCAGCAAATAGTTTTTGTTTTTTTGTTTTTAATTCTTTAGAAGATTACAATTGTTTCACTGCTATTATAGAAAGTTGGAAACACACATTAAAGGAACACTATTGTGTTAGGAATCACACTGTTCCTCTTGCCCCCTCCCCTGCTGCTATCAAAGCGGTAAAAAAAAACTTTTTTACTAACCTTATTCCAGCGCAATGGTACCTCAGTGCTAGCTCTGTCTCGCCTCCTCTGACATCATCGCGAGGTGAATCCTAATGTGCATGGCTTCATGCACTCACTTGGCTTTCAGCATAACAAAGCATTGAATTAATGCTTACCTACAGAGATTTAGAAGACGCTAGGCGACCTCATGCAAAGTGTGAGGATGTTCAGGATTGCTTCACGGCGTTAAACTCCGTCTAACAGCAGAAAGCTCTAGTCTGGAGACAGCCACTAGGAACAGTCTTAGCCCTCCAATAAAAACAGTGCAGTTTGTCCAAAACTGCAATGTTTTCAGCTGCAGGGTTAAGGGGACAGGAGCAGTACACTTAGAAAGTTTTCTGGGTGCCTATAGTTTCCCTTTAAAAGGTTAGAGAACATTTACATTTAGAAAGAAATATATTTCCAAGTATTTCTTATGTAAGTATTTTAGAGCCAGTAAGTTAGTCTTGGACATAAGAACTCATTTTGGGATTTGTTTAGTATTTATTTAATTAAAGAATAATACAATATTGTCATAGCATTCAATGATCAGTGTAAGGTTATCCTGAAAATATGCAGCCCCTGAGGACTGTGATTTATTAATACTGCGTTATGTAATTGTGATGTGATTGTCCTGCTCTGGATAAATGGAATTTCAAAATCCTGATCTAGAATACTGGAGATTGATAATCCAATACATTTATAGAAGGTTGAAATTTAACAAACCTGCTCTAGAT